ATGTACTTTTGTACCAGATGCAGCTTTATTTAGGGGGCGAAAAGGGGGTCACCATACCGCTAATGTGCTGGGGCGGGGTGGGAGGGTCACTGTACTGCTATAGAGTGGTGTGGGGGTAAAGGGGGCGATAATGGCCCATCAATGAGTCCTCAGTCCACACTGAGGACTGTGACCCCCCAGTGTTGAAGCACTGAGGAATGACAGTGATTGTCCAAGTGTGCCGTTTGGAGATGCCGGATGGAAACTCTGGATGGCACACTTGGATAACACCTGTACATTCTCATAAATAAATGTCCAAAATGACATTTATTTTTTGTGCATTCTTGATCATTCTTGAAATCCACGAGCAGAATACTTTATTCAACAGATTTATTGTATTTTCCTGTCCGTACCTTCAACACTCAATTTGTATTTACAAGAAATAGAAATGAAAAAAAAATTTGAAGCAAAATTCTTCAATTATTTTTGTGTTTCAAACCTAAACCACTTACAGTTAGAGTATTTTTGACTGCAAAAATGGAAAATTTAGCTTGTCTTCTTCATAAAGAGACCAAGCTTTTGCATGTGCTCCAAATTGTTGAAGAACAGCAGCTGATTTAATTTGGGTATGCCTTTCCAGCCGTGTTTGGTGATTTTGGTCCCACCAGTTAAGGGGTTAAAGTAATAACTTTGCTTTTTAGTCACACTTAAATTTTCATGTTCATTGTGTTCACTTTTGACGTGTAAACTGATCATTTATGTAAAGTTTATAAAGTTGTGAGTAAAATTGGACAATTTAAAAATGTCGGTAATAAAACAAAAATATTTGAATTCCCTTGGTCATCTTGTGTAATTAATATTTCCATGTAATTGTAGCATAAAACAATGTAAATACTGCAGTGTAACTATGCATGTAATGTACAAAATAGGAAAGTAGGAATAAAGAAGACTTTTATGAGTAATTAAAATTGTACTTTATTAGCAATAGCAGTGAATCAAAAATAAAAATTAAGTGTAATCTAAATACATTACTAATATATTAGTAGTATATTTAAAATATTTAAAGTATATTAAAATTATATTTTTAATATAATTCTATGACAGAATTAGTACACTCAAAATATGGAATATTTTGGAATATTTCTCTTGAATACTACATAAAAAAAGTATACTTAAAGTATACTAAGTACTACTTGAAGTTGTTCCAAAAAAGTACGTTGAAGTATACTATGTATACTAAAAGTTGTAATTTAATACTATTTAAATACTACTAAAATATACTAAGCACAAAAAAGTTGTTCCAATATAGTACAGTTTAAGTACATAAATCAAAGTATGCTAAAGTATGTTAAAATTTAATATACTAAAGTATACTTTTTTATATAGTATTCAAGAGCTTGATTAGTATATTTTGAGTCTACTAATTCTGTCATAGAATTATATTAAACATATAATTTTAATATACTTTAAATATATTTTAAATATACTACTAATATATTAGTAATGTATTTAGATTACACTTAATTTTTATTTTTGATTCACTGCTATTGCTAATAAAGTACAATTTTAATTACTCATAAAAGTCTTCTTTATTCCTACTTTCCTATTTTGTACATTACATGCATAACTACACTACAGTACTTACATTGTCTTAGGCTACAATTATATGGAAAG